CTTTCTTTCTTTCTTTCTTTCTTTCTTTCTTTCTTTCTTTCTTTCTTTCTTTCTTTCTTTCTTTCTTTCTTTCTTCCTTCCTTCCGTCCGTCCGTCCGTCCGTCCGTCCGTCCGTCCGTCCGTAGCGAGCGCACTGAAGCCTCTATTATCTCAGGCCTCCAGGAGGTGCTCACTCTTCTTCACTAGTTGCTGCCACCAATATTTCAGTTTCAATACTAATTATTCAGTGAGACATGTGTTGCTTTAAAACTTAAACTTGTTTATTTGATCAGTAATATATAATAAGTAAATCACAAGTTGATAATCAATTTCTCTCACTCACTGAACTCACTAACACAGAGAACCCTACTCTCACTGACTTTTTGGCACACAGGCCCACAGACTCACGAATCTCTTTCACATACTCCATACACCCCCCTTTATATCCCAGCCCCTCCCCCTTTAGCACCACCTTCCGTTCCCTCATTGGCTCTTTTCCCACTGCTCAGTTGTGACGGACAGGTGAGGGCAGGGCTGAATGCTAAACTTCCTTCCTTCCTTTGTTTTTTTGCACAGAATATCTTGCAGTTTGCAAGATGGAGGTGCACAATAGGTGAAGCAGTGAAGGATATTGACTAGCAAAGACTGTTGAGAGCAAACGTAGTCCTGTGGTGGGAGCTCCAAGAAAAGATGGGTGAGGAAACATTCAGTTCTCCAGATGTTTTGCCACACACCATTTCTGACCATAATGGGAGATTGTGAGGCTTGTGGGTGTTGTATATCAAAACAGCTGGAAGGTCAAAAATTCCTCTTTTGGGATGAATAGGTATTCCTGTGAATGTCTTGGTTGGTTGGTGAATCAATTTGGGGCTTCAGCACTGGAGGAGAAGGGTTAACTGGTTTTTTCATATGTCCCTAACCTGAAATGATCCTCTTTTGGCAGAGCCAGAAGGAATTTTCAAGGAATGGAAGGTTTTAACTAGGGTAACAGCATGATAGAAAGGACTAGCTACCTTCCAGGTCAACATCCTTGATCTTACTTCATTACAGCATCAGATATGATTATTTTTTAAAATCCCATTGATGGCAATAAACAAGGAAAGCACCCATGGTCGAAATGGTTCTATAGTACTTCTCCTGCCATGTAATGCTATTTCATTGAAATTGAATATGAGATCTCACGTAAACTGCAAGGACAATTTTGCATAAATAATCCCAAACCATCGTGTTTTAGCATAAATTAGGCTGCAGTCCTACAAATACACTTCCCATTCTGATGCCCAAGACAGATAACTACACAGCCAGTCTCCCCAAAAATATAGCTGTGCTTGTGAGTTGCAGGCATTAGACATAATTTATTTTTAACTCTTGTTAGAAAGAAGTTCCTGCTTTATTTCACACACTGACAATGTTGAAGAATGAAGATGGTCAAGAACTGGACCAATGTCACAATCCTTTAAACATTTATTCTGAACTGTATCACACTGTATTCAGTGATCACACTCACTGGTAAGCATGTGTAAGCTGTCACCATATCAGGCAAATACAAGAGAAAAAAATAAAACATACGGAAGAGAAAAATGTCATGACACCTTAAAGACTAACTGCTATATTTGAATGTGAGTTTCTGCTTCCTCAGACTTCTCCATGAAAGCTCACATTCAAATATAGCAGTTAATGGCTGCTGTGGGTTTTTCGGGCTCCTTGGCCGTGTTCTGAAGGTTGTTCTTCCTAATGTTTCCCCAGTCTCTGTGGCCGGCATCTTCAGAGGACAGGAGTAGCACTGCCCAGAGCACAGAGTGCTACTCCAGTCCTCTGAAAATGCCAGCCACAGAGACTGGCGAAACGTTAGGAAGAACAACCTTCAGAACACAGCCAAAGAGCCCGAAGAACCCACAACAACCATTAGACCCTGGCTGTGAAAGCCTTCGCGAATACATAGCAGTTAATCTTTTATGTGCCATAATGTTCTTTCTTTCTTTCTTTCTTTCTGTCTTTCTGTCTTTCTGTCTTTCTGTCTTTCTGTCTTTTTGCCTGATATGCTAGCACAGATTAACATAGCTGTCTTTTCTAAAACTACATTACATAATGTTACTGTGTTTCCCGTACAAAGCAGTGTGGAGTTTGTACCAGAGAACAGAAAGCTGAGTGCCATGTTGTTCAGATCTAAACCAGAGACTGGAAGGAACTAGTTAGAGGTAATGAGTTACTATGACTAAACACACACAGTTACTTTTATTGTGTTCCTTTTTACAATAATGAAAGTATGGTTACATTATGATAGGAAGGTTTTTTCCCTGGTAGGGAACTATAATCTTTTTTTTTAAAGTTTTTTTTTTGTAGCTCTACTACAAAGTGGAGGTGGAACGCCATATAGGTCAACTGATAACCACAAGAAAAGCAACTTTTTGCAAAGGAATCTGTGTTGCCTATGTCTTCTATGCACTCATGTCATAATTTCATCAAGCCATTAGGTGGTGCTCTGAACATGCAAAATAAACCCAGCTCCAGATTTTATTTTTATTTTTTATTTTCTGGAAGGGACAAGTCTATTAAAGTCACAGGGGGTGTCTTAAATGTAACCAAGAGAATATGACTTGGCAAAATTAACAAGATATTTTTAGCTATATGGCAATTAAATCTGCTATGCCAGTTTTTAAGATACATTTGTCTATGAAGCTGTTAAAATCCTCATGGCAAGTATAGCCCATCAAGCTGAAAACTCTAAGCATGGGGCAGCGACTGAAATCCTGTGGTGCAGTTATGCAAAAGGTATAACTTTTAGGTGCAAATTACCACAAGTTAAGAAATCTTTATAGGCATTATCTGTTACATGCTGAGTTTGCCAATTGAGGTTTAAAAGTTACACCTTTTGCATAACTATGCAGTAGGATTTTGGCCAATAGGTATTTGCTGACTGATGACTTTCTGTTTTAAACATATGCACACCGTGTGAACCAGGGTTTGATTTGATTTATTTATTTATTTCTTATCTGCTTAACCTGGGGGTAACCTGGATGCAGCCCACAGTCCATGAGTACTTCATTATCTGACCTCCACACTACTCTCCTGCCATGGTGTGCAGTTATTGGTCTCTTTCACAGCTTCTGTTGGTGTCAGGTGGGGACTTTTTAAAAAGCTGAATGGCAGTGAGAAGGGGCAGTTGAGTTGGGTCTCTACTGAGGGGAGAGGGCTAATTCTGGAAACTACCATCAAAATTTAACGTTCATGTAGCAATTACTCTTGGGATCTGCTAGCATGTGTGAAAAATACTATGTAACAAAAAAATTTTAAAAATGGTTTGTAATCTCTGAAATATTGAAGCTTTAAGGCAGCCATAGTCCATCTTGGTTGCTCAAAGGGCGGGGCGAGAGAGGCACTGTGAAAATTCACATGTGTTGTTATGCAAATAAATTAGCAGCTTAATATAATCCTTGCAGTTTCACCAGCAGTAACAGCAGTATTACTGATCTCAAAAAATACACACTGTAAAATGCTGGATGGTTTTGTTGGCTCATTGGTTTGCATATTTTAGCTACTGTTAGATTGGTTTCATTGGTAAAGCAGATACAGTCACTGCTGCTTTTGAAAACAAAAGTTTAAGACCCCAAAACCTATATTCATAGTCAGCCTCACTGAACTCGATAGGACTTATGAACAGACCTGTACAGGACTGTATTATAGTTGCCTCATAGTGAAATTTATGATTACTTTTTATTTCAGGGACACAGTTTGCTTCTATTCTAACTTTTCAGGGCAGTGGCTATGTCTGCAAAACATCCGTTTCTTCCATTTTGCACCCCCTGCCAATTGTATGACAGATTGTGATGAGTTAATTCAGTGTGGAAAGGCTGAGATTTTTCTCTATAAGTGTATGGGGAAATTAAAGCTTAATTTACATGTTTATGTAGTTCAGATTGCCCTACGTGTCTTTTGGGGACCGTCTCAAACCAGCAAGGTTCAATTTGCACAGCAGTAAAGAGAGATGCCATTTATCAAAGCAGTAAAATGTGCAACAGGAACAAGAGACACAGGACCAGAGAACTTGAATGCGTGCTCAAATATAGAGCTCTGCAAGGGACAAAATGTGGAGCCGGTCTTTTCATCTAGCGGATTAAGCAGCATAAGCTTTTCTGGAGAATCACAGTTGGTCTGGGAATAGCTGTCTGAGGGAGCCTCATGCCGTGCTTCCTTCCTGCAACTCGTTAAAAAATGAAGAAGGGGGAAATGAACAAGCAATGAGTCCCACCCCCTCCAGGTTGCTCGGCTTTCTCAAAGCCATATTCCTTTAAGATGATGTAATAGTCATTTCCCTGGATGGTTTCTTCCCTGCACTGCTGAAACAACAGCATCTGAACTGCACTGGGAACTGTGGAACCACCCAGCTCAGCAACCAGAGCAGCAGCCTGGGTAGCGAAAGCAAGAGCAAGCAGCTTCCTTGGGCATCCTGTCGAACTGCTGCAAGCGTGTACTCTCTCAACCTGGAGACTTTATGTCCTTCTAGCGTGGGTACCACTGTGAGCTACCACTGAAATGCATTGCTGTCCAGCTCACCCTCTTGGCTTTCTGCAAGTCATCTGAAGGAAAGTCCTCTTATTGATATCCACTCCTTAAGGATCCTGACCTGGTGGGAATTATGCTGGATATATTTTTTTTATGTTATTCTCTTCTCAGCCTTGCTGCACTGATCCATTTCTCTTCTTCAAGCCCTCAGTCAAGTTAACTTTGCTCCTCTTTTAAGTTTTTCCTGGATATTGCCAAATGGTCTCAGTTTCTGCTCTTAGTTCCTTTCCTGTCTTGGATAGGCTTTCCCCCTCCCCACTTCAGACTGAAATCTTCCTCCATGATAATTTGGGGGCTGCTTAGAAAATGTTGCTTCCTTGCTCAGGAACTGTATGCATCAGTGCAACTAAGGTAAGGCTTGATTTCTTCTCTTTTTTCATGTACTCTAAATTAGATGCTACTGCAGCTGGAATTAGTGTGGTTCGTTTATTTATGTATTTATGTATTTATTTATTTATTTTTATATTGCCCTATTAGTGCAAGCATGGGTGGTTTACACAAGATTAAAACACACTAATGTATGATGTTGTGATGTCTTGTTAGCTCCTTTACTGACCAAAAAATAAATCCAAAGAAAAATTAGGAAGGTAAATATTACTTAATCAGTAGCATCCCTTTAGGACTCAACTGCTTTTTCTGTTTATTTATTTTTAAATCTATACAGAACAATGATTCTTTCATGTTTCTTTCTTATTCAACAGGCTTGTGAATGATAGGAAATGTGACTTGATATTGCACTGCTTGGGGCGTTGGTGGAGGATCTGAGCTTTTGATTGCATTCTGTGAACTCAGCCTTCATTGCCCATCATTAACAGTTCAAGCCATTTTGCCAAATTTTTTTTGTGAATATCATTTCTGGACAACTACAAAAACAAATCCTACACTTCCTCTTTATTTTCCATTTCTCTCTCCAGCCTCCACATGAATTATAGTCTCCTTAAATCTTAGGAGACTCTTGAGGGGAACCGATACAAGAACCGTATTAAAAATCTGGATGTGAGTGAGAGTTATACCACAATTTGTGAACGGTTTGTTTAAAAGTACCATGGCCTTGAGTGGAAATTGCAGGACTTACCTCCCTCCTAGAGAGCAGGCAACAGCTGCACACTCTTTCCCAGAAGTGATAGAACTGAATGTGGGTGGCCAGGTTTACTTCACTCGCCACTCAACTTTAATAGGTATCCCTCATTCCCTGCTTTGGAAAATGTTCACCTCCAAAAGGGAGACAGCCAACGACCTAGCAAAGGATTCCAAAGGAAGGATTTTCATTGACAGGGATGGATTCCTGTTTCGCTACATTCTGGACTATCTCAGGGACAAGCAAGTGGTCCTGCCTGATCATTTTCCAGAACGAGGACGGCTCAAGAGGGAAGCCGAGTACTTTCAGCTACCGGACTTGGTCAAACTTTTGACTCCCGATGAGATCAAGCAGAGTCCCGATGACTATTGCCACAGTGATTATGAGGAGGTTTCCCAGAGCAGTGACACTAGAATATGTGCCGCATCGTCTCTTATGCCTTCCGACCGGAAGTGGGGCTTCATTACCATCGGCTACAGAGGGTCGTGCACCATGGGTAGGGAGACCCAAGCAGATGCCAAGTTCAGGAGAGTCCCAAGGATTTTGGTTTGTGGCCGGATTGCTCTAGTCAAGGAAGTTTTTGGAGAAAGTTTGAATGAGAGCAGAGACCCAGACCGGGCTCCCGACAGATACACTTCCAGGTTCTACCTGAAGTTCAGGCACCTGGAGAGGGCTTTTGATATGTTGTCGGAATGTGGATTCCACATGGTAGCCTGTAATTCTTCGGTGACAGCTTCTTTTGTCAATCAGTACACTGAGGACAAAGTTTGGTCCAGCTACACAGAATACGTCTTTTATCGTAAGTACAAGAGACCTCCAGTGTGATGAGGTGCTGGGTTCTGTGGGCTGAGGGTTTCCTCGGGGTCTTTTTCTTTGGGTGGCTGCCTTGCCTTTCTAGCACTGATGAGCTCATGGTTTTTGCTGTTTACTAAAGTTTTGTTCTGGAAGTACAGGGTGCAAAGGTGCTTGTGTCTATATCACCTGTATTTTAAAAACACAATTATGAGAAAACCACATGGCTGGTGAGTTCAGTGGCATCGTCTTGGCTAGGTGGCAGCACAGACTGCCAGAATTTTCCTTCCTTCTCCATTCCTGTTACACGTTTACACACACACACACACAAAAGGAGATCCTGCTCTCTCACCTTTGCTAATTGCTAGTTTGATTATCTTGTGTGTCTTTTGATTACTTGCTCAGTGTAATTGGAGCTGTAGAAAGACACTGCTGATTTAATTACAGGAAATCTCCAAATGTGATTCAATTTACAAAGGTAATAATTGTTTGGTAATAATTACGTACAGTCAACCAAGCCATCTGTCAACAAAGTTGACATACTTACATGCAGTGAAAGTAAGTGAAACTTACTCACCTTGGTTCCTTTCCAGCAGGAGCCTTTTTATCAATTAGCTTTGTCTTAAAATAGGCAATGGATGCCTAAGAATTAAGTTTCTATATCTTTCTGCAGTTACTCTGATAAAAATGTTCTTCTAAACTATATACATACCCTGCTGTCTGGAATTTCATCAGAGTTTGGGTAGAATGTGAGAGGTTTTGGAATTTTCCTGGTCTCACCAGGACAGTTTCTGTTTCCATTAGACTATGAAAATACTTGGTGTTTGATGTGCAGAGCTATATTATTTCATCTCACATTTGTTTCAAATGGGAGGAGAGGTATTTTCCCCTCTGTCACAATCAGATTACCTTTGTCATGTTTAAATGTGTTTCATGTGGATGAATACAAGGTAGAAATCTCTTATCTTATTGATCTGCTACTTAAATAAGAGGCTTATCTCGGTTTCATCTCTACTTTTCAAAATTTGAGAGATGGCTTTAACTGCGCTTAGTAGTAATTTGAAGGCGTTAAGGACCTGGCTAAATGATCAGTCTACGAAGTTGCTTAGTTTTGATGTATTGGAACTCTGTTTTCATATCAATGAACCTGTTAATATGTCACAGAATCGATTAACAGTTCTTGCTAAGATACCGTAATTCATACCAACCTGTCTATTGCAAAAAAAAAAAAAATCATGGAAAAAACAAGGTAAGACAGCTATAGATTATCGTACGCTGTTGATTATTCATTTGTATGTTTTGTAAAATGAAAGATTCAGAAAGATGTAGCATTCTGGTTGCTTCTTTGCCCAGAGGTTAGGACTGAAACCATATATTGATGAGAACACTCCCTTCCCCAGATATTATTAGTATTTTGTAGTTAATGCCATCTGTACTTTACCAAGGCATTAGCTTTTAGTTTTTTACCTTTACATTAAGGGGACTTAGTGAAGAAGTAAGTTTCAGGACTAAGCCTAAACTTACTGCTTTTTTTGAAAAATTGAATTTGTATTCATTTTTTTCTTTTGTGGAAGTTACAGTGACTGATCATACAGTATGGCAGGTATAAAGGAAAAGAGAGAAACAGAAGCAAAGTAAAATAAAGCAAAGAAAGTTTAAATTCCCCTGAAGAAATCCAAGTTAATGACTTGTGCAACTGAACTGGAGATACGATATATGGTTCTCATAACAGCTTTTCTCTCTGCATTTCATAAATGGCTCTGATTTTCCTTTCTCTCAGATATGTAGGTTTTACAGAAGGTGAAGCACCTTGCCACTGAGGGCATCATCCACATTTTTATGTTCACCAGTGCATTAACCTAAGCAAACTGTAGGCATATTCATACTTGGATTTGACAGAGAGAAAGGGAGGAAAGGTGAATACTGTGAACAGTTAGACGTTACAGCATGTCTATAGAAAATATGCCCAGCAAACTCCTTAACTTCTTCCTTATGGGTCTTGCTATTTCCAAAAAAGCCAATAGGAGCCTTAGACTGGCACAGACTTCTTATACTCTTTGGGTGTGTTGAAGCTGAGAGGGATGTGTCGTACAGTGTTCTATGGCATGGTCAGGTTGAAGATGTTGCCTTTATTCATGTTATAGTATTGTGCAGCAGAGCAAATCAATATTCTACAAGGCAATTCTAAAAAAAGGGCACAGACCAAACAAAAGTTTATAATTTTGAAACTAGACTTTGGATCTACACCAACAATGGCACAGACATAGCAGGCAGTCTGCACTTTCTCTGTGAGAAATATGGGGAAGTTTGGACAAAGGGTTTTTGAGGTATGGCTTTTTAAAAATAAAGCTATTTACCCCCCTCCATTCAGAAACAAGTGGCTTCAAAACATCCCCAGATTTAAAATAACTAATTTAAATTGGGAAAAAAGTCTTGCCTATCTTGAAAGAGAATGGTTGGTCCCATGTACTTTTTTATTTGAAAAGAATCCAGGCTGCAGAGCCTGAAATACTGCTTCTCAAGGAAAAAAGGCTTTTCAAAAGGGAAAAACAACAGCTTTGTTATAAAACTGAGCATGTGTGGAACAGGCTTACTACCAAGAGAGTTCCAAAGTAGAGACATTGTTGCATCTTAGAATGGATGATCTTGACTTGGTTTCTAGTGACTATCTTTGCTAACTTTCAGCTGTCTATTTTATTTCAAAAGGTGAAGGGACATATTTCAGAAAAAAAAATTACACAACATATTTGTAGAGCTTTTGGGCTGGTATAACCTCCCTCCCCTCAAGTTTCCAAGGAAATCGTATTTAAATTGGAAGATAGGTTTCTAGCCTGCATTCTGCAGAGTGGACATAGAAATATTAGTTTACCTGAGAAGTTAACAGATGTGTATGTTTCTCCATTGTATATGTTGCATTTACTGGCATCTTTGCTTCACCACTTCATTAATTCCAAAAACAGCATTTCAAAATATTTTGGCACAGAGGGACTACAGCCAAATTGTCTCTTGTCCCAGCAACCATAGTGCAGATCATGCACTCTCATCTTCTTAAATCCTGTAGCATTGGGCATTTTTACATGAGGGAAGTTTTTGTTGGAATTGGTGGTAGAGTATGTACACATAAACTTATGTTTTATAAAAGCCAGGAAATTCAGTTCTTCAAAATAGCCTCTGGTTTATGAATGTGGAATATTGCCATTCTTCAATGGCAGCAGTCAAGATAGTCTACAGGATACCCTTTTCTGCTTGCTACTATTCACATTTGTTGAAAAACAGCCCTAACAATTACTTTGTGTTTTGGCTAGAAGTTGTTAACTGATGAAAAAATAATTCAGCTTCTGGGATTTTCCCTTGCTTGGTGTCACTTTGTGAATGATAGTGAGCACAAGAGGGTATCTTACAGACTATGGGTCTCCAAACTTTTGAGAGTGACGGCCACAACGTATATGTTCCAGATTTTTGAGGGCCAAACACATGTGTGTGTACATACACCTGCCTGCCCTCCCTCGTGCCCACACACCTGCCCACCCGCCTGGCCGGATAAAAAGTATTAAAATATTAAGGTCCATATACTTAACCATATTTTGGGATGTCACCCTTCCCATGTTGCCTACATTTCTCTTTGGGCCCTTTTTTTTGGTGTTATATCACCCTTTAACTCCATCCAGTCACTTTGCATGGTTCATGTTTTTCCTATTGGGTATATAGTGCTTGCTGGATGTATTTTGTACTGTGCCATATTCTTACAGTGCATTCTATTTTAAGCTGATAGCATACCAGGTTTCTTGGTTTATGGAATAAAACTATTTTGTTGTTATTTGTTAGAATTTGAAATTCTAAGAATTATGTCACCGGATGTTTAGATTTATGTGATACACTGAACAAATATTGGGTGGCATCTTCCAAGTGGAAATGAAGTCAACAATATGTGAAGGAAACTTTCAAAATAAGGGAGCTATATGTTCTATCTACTTTGCAGAATGATAGTCTGTTCCCTCTTGGATTGTCAGAGGAGAGTCCTCTGTTTGAAGGTGCCATCTTTTAAAGGCAATCCCTCCAAGACTAGCTTAAAGATAATTAGTATAAGAATTGAGAGGAAGACACAGAAGTTGCCCACAAAAGAGTTAGCATCCAGAAGGCAGGTTGGCCAGTCACAGTTTTTCTGACAACAGTGAGACATGTTGCATTTCTGTTTAAATGCATAGTAATTGTTGCTCAATTTTTATCTATACCTGAAAAACAGTATATGCACATTTTATGCAAATCGCTTTTGTCCCTTTCTAAACTAATGCATGTCTTGTTTTTTTGGCATGCAAGTAGCCATCATACTTAAAAATGTCTTAATGTGGTATAGAAACTTCCAAGGGTTCATGGAAATGGTTTGTAACTCTATTGTTTATTCAACGCACATGAGGAGTACTCTTACACCTCATAAAAATTACTTGTGTTACCTTACCTGACAAATATTGGAGTGTGCACAGAAGCATGCAGACACCCCTATATACAGTGAGTCCCTGTCTTTATTGCCCATGTCTGAGACCTTTTGAAATATGTCTGTTTGGAATATTGGTAAAATTGTGTGGGATAGGCCGTGCTGGCCCAAGACATTTTGCTCCCTGAGGGAAAAGAATACAGTGGTACCCCCTGCCATTACAGATACAGATGCTAACTGCACTGATAGCTGAATGTTGCTCCAGCACTGGTGAGAGGATACTGTCCTTTTTCACACCTGAGAGCAGTGAGGGCAGTGCAGAGTGGGCCCAGATAGTAGTAGACTTGTTGAGGGCAGTGCAGAGTGGGCCCAGATAGTGCTGTCCTTCAGCACCTTGTCCAGGATCTCACCCTAAACATTTGCAGCCTGCAGTCTGTGCTTTACTCTGTACAATGTTAGGGCTAGTCATGTGCAGAGGCACCATTTTCACCTTTAGTATACAGCATGTGAGTGACAGCTGCTTTTCACTCCAGTCACTGGATCCATGTTGACCACCACCTCTTTCGATTGTATGG